CAGCTAGCCTGGCTCTGTCCACCTCTGAAGCTGTCTAACCAAAAGCTGAACTAGTACTGTAGAAATGTGTTCCCTTCTTTCCATAATATTGCGAAAGACCAATTTTGGTTTGTTTTCAAGCTGAAGGTCTAAAGTGCTATCAACATAGGTGGTGGTTGTGGTGACACTTCCTGTTACAGATTTTGGTAGCGCAGGTGGGTTGTAAACGGCTGGAAGTCAGTAGAGTTTCATTTCATTTCATTTGGTTCAGTTACCAGAAAGTGTAAACCGAAAGCAATCAGTTGGGCTTGTTCCCACATGTACAATCTTCACAGTTCTTATCACGCCGCACACTTTTAACATTCTGTATAATAATAATAATAATACACAATCCAAAGTTTATCCAAAATCCCCTCACTGCACACACATTTACTATTGTGACCAGTTCCCTTTCTAGGGAGTGTGAGCTCTGCTGATTCATACATTGCACTGTGTGAGCACCATTACTATTCATTTATGCAGAGGAACTGTTGGTCAGTGTCAGCCTGCAGGAACTCATTTATCAGGTTGATCCTGCTTAGTCATCATGCAGCGGATCATGTCCAAGACCTGAGATTGGCGAGATTGGCAGTGATTAGGGTTAGTACTGTATGTTTAAAGTGTAGGCACACATTCTGGACTTTTAGCTGCAGCACTGTAGTTTCTGATGAGCACATGCAGTCTTCACCTCATCCTCATTTATNNTTATCCCCCCCCCCCCATGTGTCTCTCCTGTCTCCATTGTTTCTTACTGCTTCTGCTGCCACATTTTAGTCCACTTAACTGCTTTCTCCATTCATCAGATTTTCATCCTCGTCATTGTTTCATCTAAACCCTAACCCCCCCCCCCCTTCACCCTCACTCTGTCCCCCTCCTTACCATTGTCTCTAACGCACATGGCCCTGGCATACCGTGTAAAGTGTGAAAAGTACATAAAGTAGAAGGTTTACTTGATGGCTTAATGCATCATTAAGCCAGCAGGTAATGACTGCAATTAGTAGAATCTGGGACACCAACACACACACACTTGCACGCAAGCAGTACAGACTGTTGTAGACTGTATGGATTAAGGCTGCAACTAACAATTATTTCCTGCTGGTTATTTTCTTGATAAATACATTTTTTGATCTATAAAATGTCACAATTTCTTAAGGCCCAAGGTGACAACTTCAGATTAGCCAAAAATCTGTCCAAAAATAAAGATATTCAGTTTACAATCACATCAGACAAAGACAAGCAGCAAATAATCCTCACAAGTGAGAAGCTGTAATTTTTGCAGATTTAGTTTCTGTGGATCGATTAATCGTTTCAGCTCTGGTATGGACACGACGTCAGCTAAAACAAGAAGGTGCCAGGAGAACAAAGCATTTGGTTGTTGGTTGTGCGTTTGAGTGTTTTTCCATTACTGAGCTTTGAGAGTAACAGATTGGCAGAACTGCGGCACTCAGACCCCCACAGTGTCAGCTTGATGTAGTCACTGTAGAGAAGTGATGCAGAAGAAGAAATAGGATTTTGTAACAGCCACTGTACGATGAAAGCGTAGTAGACTTAAATAGAATTCACACTTTGAACAAAACACTGCTTTTTGATGAAAATCCTGAGAGAAAATGTGAAAACCCTGGCTGTCATTTCTCTCCCATCTTCACTTCCGGGTCTGCAAATGTCACAGACACATACAGCTCATATTGCTGTGTGTGCTTTTCATATTTAATTGTCTGGAAATCTTACTTTGTCACTTCAAGGATTAGCCTACTGCACAAGAATGTTCAGTATGTACTAGCCAGGTCAATGGACAAATGGCTTAGAGGCCAAAACTAAATAACTTCTAGGCTATTGCTCTAATGATGATCCCTAACAGTTATGTGGAGCAGACGGACATTGTTATTCCAAACAGAAGGCTTTAACCATTTAGCATTAGCCAAGAAAAGCAATTATCACCTGTCTATATTAGTCTAGTCCTTAGAGGTGTGTTTCTAGCTTTGGTTAATGCTCTATTGACTCTCTTATCTGTTCTGATCAGTGTGTGTGTGTGTGTGTGTGTGTGTGGGGATCCTGCAGTGGGAGCTCTGGTCACATGCTCCTGAGCAGCTCTTTTGTGTATTGTTTCTTATCGTTCTTGTGACCAACAGGGAAAAGGAGGTGTTCTGTTGTGTTGCTTGCTGCTGTCGTTTATTGCATGTCACCCTCTCTTTTTCACTTATTCATCTTTGGCTCCTTAATTAAAGAAGTCTAAGAGGCCTCGGACAAAGTATTACACAACAATGAATGAACCAACATCTTGCTGCAGAAGCTCTCTGATTTTGTGTATTATCTATCCTATTTGACTGTAACCCCTCTTTCTTCTCCTGTCCCCTTTCTCCAGGTGGATAATGCCAAAGTTCTCCACTATGTCGGAGCAGGCATTGCCTTCCCAACCAGTATGCTGTTTGTGTGCCTGCAGTCAGCACTGACTTACCGACTGGCCAAGACCCAGGGGGAGTACAACGTGGCCCACCTCCGGCTCTGCATGACCCTGTTGGCCTTCGTAGCCTTGGTACTCAGTATCCTCTTCAGCCACTAACAGATGGCAGCCTTCGAGGCTGTCAACTCCTTTAGAATAGAGCGTAGTACTGCCAGCCTGATTAAGGACAGACACATCACCTCAACATTATATCACTACAGTTTCCCTCCAGTATTTAATGTCAAATCCTGTCTTTTTATGTTGTTTTTTTGGTCCTTCCACCTACCCTTCATTATTTTATATATATCACCAGAAACCTAAAATAAAAGTCAATATGACCTGTTGCCAGAACTTTAAACCCCACACCAACACAGCCCCATATTTTTCTTTTTGAAGCAGTGCTATTTTTCTTCTGAGCAGCAGGTTTTTTATCTATGTAAGAGCAGTCAAAGAGAGTTTTTACTGACTGATGTTAGGCTGTCTACACATGAACAAAAGGGTGAGCACAGGCTGTCTACAGTACTTTGCTGTTGTTGTCCTTAACCATGTTTTCAGGTGGTGTGTTTTTCTGTCAGGAGAGCTTCGTCCTGCAACACGCGTCGGCCATCTTTGAATGGGTGTTCTGCGTCATCATCATGCTGTTTTACGGGACATTTGCCTGTGAGTTTGCCAGCATGTCAGGAGATACTATGGCGGTGCTGGCTAGAGGAGGGGCCCTCGGACCTGCTGGGAGAGAACACAAGGTGGATGCGCTGGGAGGTCCCGGCTCACACTCACAGCCACATCAACACCAACCTGAAAGCATGTCCATACTGTAGCCCGCTGGCACATCTCGATGCCACCCAGTTGGCTTGTTTATTCCTTTCAAACTCCGGTTGTCGGATTGAGTTTAATTATTCATTTCCAGCCAAATTTGTCTGAAGCTTTGAAATGAACCAGGCCAGTGCAGTCGCCTTTCACGGCACAGTGGGTTCTACTATTTCAACCCCAGGGGTGTAGATCTACCGCCACAGTGGAGAGCTCCGCTTGTATTCTCCTCACATCAGAGCTTGGTGTCTCTAAAGAACTTGTTTGCATTTTGCACATGGCACACAAGTGTGAAACCAAATTTTTTCCCAACTCAGTTCTGTCCCCAGCGACCAGGAGAGGAGTATTTTGTCAATCAGATCAAGAAAATGTACTGTTCCCCATGACATCCTGTAACCTGTCTAAGAAAGTGCCCACTTCAACTGACTGCCGTGATGCTTTAATTGTACGTAAGGGAGGAGTGATGGCTGCTGGACAGCCTAGCTGTAAAGTAGTCAGACAGAGAGAAGCAGAGAGAGAGAGAGAG